CACCGGCGAAACCGCACAAAAACACATCCTGGCCTGTAAACAGGACATTTAAAAACCATTATAGGGGCTAGATTTGAGATTGGGACACACCAATCTTTATTCTCTGATTGGTGTACAGAAGCACGGAAGGACACACCTGTCAGGTAGAGGTTCTTCAGGGGAGTCTGAGGTCTTATTGTAGCGTTGAATTCAGGGCTGAACCGAGCGATGTCGTGGTCCACTCCATAGATCTCACCTTTTGGGGCGCCAATGTAGTGTGTGTTTGTGATGGGGGTTCCAGCTTCAATGTACTCAATCTGCAAAAACACAACACGTTTCTGAGTAACAAGGATTACCTAGCTAAGAAGTGTGGCACATTATTAGGTAACCTTTTATGTGTTTTCACACCAATATCTTCACAGGCTGGGTCAGACTGAATTTAAATTTGCTCATTCTAATTTCGAGTATAAAACAAATACTAAAGAAATGGAAATTGACTACTTTGGTTAAGCATGTAAAAACTGCAACAGACCTTTCAAATAGTTCATTAAATGCAATTAGGAATTCTAAATGTAACGCAAAGCAAATTATGAAGGAGAGAGCAAAGATCATAGAATTACATTGAATAGACCTGCTCTTATAGATCTATTCTAGAGCGGTATTGTAACCAATATCAACCTAGAATTTACTTCAACATCTGGACTGATACAGATATCAGATCGAACCAGATTTACCCAGAGAAAGACAGAAAATGTAAATGTGAGAAGCTCCAGAATCCTTTACCTTGTCCCTTGTGATTTTTGGGAAAACGTCCATCACCACATCCAGAGCGGAGTCAATGAACGCTTGTTTCAGCTCTTTGTAATCAGGCCCTCTGTTCGTCACTTTATCGTCCTTCCACTCCTCAAACCACGAATGTTTGGCAAAACTGACCAGACTTAAAGTAGACTTTCCTACAAAAATAAAATAGAGAGAGACTCTGATTAAGAAAACATTTAAAGATGAGGGTATATTCCCATCATTCATCAGTACCTGGTGATCTCTCCTCCCACGATGGATCTTTGGCAGACGGCGAAGCGACAAACAGCAGAGGTATTTTCTTAGAAGCCTGTTCTCTCCCGTCATTTAAATATCTCTCCAGCCTTTAACGAACAGACAGAAATCTGGTGAATGTACACAAATAACAGCCAGGAACAACTAGCACTTCCTGTGCAACAGGAAAGAGCAAAAGACAACTGGGATCAAACAGTTTGAATAATAAAAAAAAAAACTTTTAACAAAACAGGCATACAGTTCATCAAAATTGTTGTCAGCAAAGATCCAGTAGTTGTTTGCTTTCAGTCCCAGCTCCTCCTTGGTTCCATTTAAACCAATAAAGATGCTCAGACCTCCTTCACCATGTTTCACCAAACTGAGCTGCTTCTGGATCTCTGCAAAGCAGCAAAATAACAACAAACTTCTCTAGGAAATATATGAAATATATGCAAAGGCATGTTTTTAAAATGTTTGTTGTCATGTTACAAAGCATAATCTCTAAAGTATTTAATTTAGATGCTATATAAAGACCCAACACAAATAAGCATGAAAATGAAGTAGCAGAAAAAAAGATTCATATTTGAAAATAAAATAAATTTGTGTTTGCACCAATTTACTTCTAAATAATATTTCTAATTCAAATCAAATGCAATATAGGTTTAAGCTACTGACAAAAATTAGAAATGTTTAACCCAAGATTTATCCTAACATCATTCCAGGTTATCTGGCTTGAAAGGACATTTTTTAATCAGGCACTTAAAAAAGGCCTTTGGGTCTTCAGAGCAATTTTCTGTCTTCCTCACAAAGAAACTGTGTGCTGTGTCACTTTTCAGTGTCAAATGTATTTACATAGCATATTTCCAACAGCTCAAACTGCACAAAGCACTTCAAAAGTTAAATGCAAACAAAGACAAGTAAAATACATATCAAATATTTTTTTTAAAATTGTGGGAATTAATAAGAAAGCTTGACAGTTGAAGTAAATCTAGGATTATTTAATGATAAATAATGATTGTCAGAGCACTGACAGTTTCTCGAATCATTTTTATAGCAAATAATAATTACTGTGTAACAGTTTTGTGGTGGAAACTTTACAAAATCAGAAAAAGTTAAAGTGATGTGAATATTTTTGGGAAACATTGTAAATTATTGAGATCATCCTTTGACGCTGACTGACCTGGCATGTCCTGGAGCTCCTTGGGCAGCAGCTTCTCGTAGGTATTAAAAATACCGGCATCCGAAATGACCATAGGGGCTTTTATATGCACCTCCTCCTGACCTTTCAACACACTCACACCTGAAAACAAACAAACAAAAAAGAAAGAACAATAGATTCATCTAATATAGAGGATCAGGTTAGTAAACGAATGAAGTCAAGCTCACCGCAAGCTTCCTTTGCATCATTAAATAAGATGCGGTTGACTGGGGCTCGCACCAGAACAGCGCCCCCTGCTTTCTCGATGATGGGAATCATGTGGTAAGCAATCTCACTGCTGCCAGCTTTAGGATACCAGGCGCCGTTTAGGTAATGAGTGATCAGCAAACTGTGCATGGCAAAGCTGGCATCTTTTGGCTTTTGACCTGCAAATCAAAAGAGAATGAAAAAAGAACAATGTAAGAAGTTTGTGAATAAACAAAACTCCTAAATGCAGCAGAGCGTACCATAGGTGCCAAAGATGTAGGTGAAGACAGCTCTGAGGTCTTTGTTCTCTGTCAGCTCGTTGACCACGTCTCTCAGGCTGCGTGGCGCCATTTTAAAGAAGAAAGACAGATGTTTGACTAGGCCGGTGTGGATCAGGAACTTGGCCAAAGGTAAGGGGCAGAGCTTCAGCACAATAAGGAGCCAGGCGCCAAACTCGGTTTTCTGCAGGAAGAACGTAAAACAAGCACGTTTATTCACTTTGGTCACATTTTTTAAAGTAAAGTTTTCCACACTTTACTTCGGAAAACTAAACACTGATGTTTTGGCTTAAACAGTTCCTGTTGTTCCCTCAGGGAATGTTTCATGTGACTATTATCTTGTTATTACGCCCTTCAACTTTTCCAGTTTCGGTATCTTTAAACACCATAAACATAAAAACAAAGATAATATTTTATTGCCAAAAACAGAATAAATATTTGCAATTCTGATTAAGTTTACCATCTTCGAGGAATGTCAGACCAGAAATTTGAAGGGCAAAATGGCTCTTAATCTTATTTATTATTTGTTATCTTCATAAAAAAAAATTTAAAAAAACGATAAAACTTTGAAGTGCGTTTCTTTATCTGCAACCAGATTAAAACTGCTGTTGCTTGTAACTTTTTGACCTTTGATTATGATGAACCAACAGCTGAAATTTGAATAGTAAAATGTTTCTGTGTCAAAGTGCAATGGGAGAAAATGCATCTGCAGTTAAGGTGATTAGCAAGTTCATTTCAGGCTAAATACACACATGACAAGATTCTACCTTCACCAGCCTCAAATACTCATCGATGGCCTTTTCCTCTCCAGGGAATCGCTTCTTCAGCTCCTCAAGGTAGCGGGCGCTGCCGCTGAAGATGGGATAGGAGCGTCGGTTTTCCAGAGATCCCAGCACAACGTGATCAAACGCCTTCTCCAGAGGCTCCCACTGCAGCTGACCATTGGTCATCTGGTCCAGCATGCAGCAAAAAGGCGAGTTGCCCAACAGATCACCAATGTAATGGATTCCTAAGGTTGAGTCGGAGTTCATAAAATGATAAATAATAATGAGTCCCTATTTTTGAAGTATTATTTAAGGATGCATGACAAGTATCTCACCAACATCAAACTCAAAGCCCTTCTCTGTGAACGTGTGGCAGCATCCCCCAGCCCGATCATGCTGCTCCAGAACCAGAACCTTCTTTCCAACTTTAGCCAGAAGGACACCCAGGCCAAGTCCACCGATGCCACTACCAATGATGATTGCATCAAGGTTGTCTGGTACTTTACTGGCCACGAAACCTACAAAAAGGCAAAGTATGAAAACATATCTGGAAAAAAAATACTTAAGAATCAGTAGTATTATTCAAAGAGGGAACAAATGCATGAGTACTGTATGTGAAATTGGATATTTTGTATAAAACTACACAACCATTTCTCTAGACTCTATGTCTATTTGGTCCTTATCAGAATTAATGTTAATTTAATTCTTTCCAGAGTTACTTCAACAAGAAATTGAGTAATTTTAACACTTGAAAAAGTTATAATGTTCTGTTGTATTTTAATTCCAAATCAGTAAAATAAAAGACAAATATTGATCAGTGCCATTACAAATCATTAAGATACCCCCAAATAACATTGAAAATCATTTTCAGTTTAGAAAATCTCCTCTTATAGCAGGTGTGCTCAACTGAACACTGATTTTCAAGAATGACTTTCATAGAAAAAGTTGCCAATTTATTTTTTAAAAATGTCCCTTGATAAACTCACCTTGCTTCAGGACTTTATTTTTCGTTTTTTCGTCGTAAACTTTCTTTTTCAGCGGTTCTCGACAGTCCTTTGCAAACGGGTTCGACTCTGGGCTGCCGAAGACATATTTCAGTGTGAATATTACCAGAATTACCAAAACAATCAAGAAAATGGTCAACATTGCAGAATAACCCGTCTCCTCTGAGTCCTGTTAACTTCTAAAACTGCACTGAGTCGTCTTCCTCGTCAATCTCACCTTGTTGCAAAAGCAGTAGCCAATCAGAGAATTAGATTCGTCATACGTCATGAGATTCTATCCAATGAGGGGCATGCAAGATGTTACGACCCCCATGATATGGTTTTTGTAAATAGAGGCTAAAATGGAAACCAGTCTCGTTCATAAGCGCTCTAACGTGAGTTTTAAAGGTTTTTTTTAACAAAAATGTTTAAAATTTCTAATGAAATATAGTTAAGAAAACTTTGCTATTAAAAAAACCCAAAACATATAAAATCCCTGCTCTATACACCAATTAAAAGCCCAAAAATAACTAATGACACAAAATGACAAATTTGCTCTATTATTTTTTAACAAATCAAAAAAATTAAATTAAAGATCGAGTCATGAACAGTACATGCATTTTTAGATCTTGAAGATTAAAAAGGTGCATTCAGACTTTTTGGGAACCTCAATTCAACTGAAACAATTTCACAGGTACGTGTGTGGAATTACCAAATAAATGTATTTTTAGACAAAGATAAGAAGAGTGAAAATAAAATACAAGCTTGAAATTAGAATTGTATTCATTAAGAGAAAATGCTACATCTAAATTAACTTGTCCACATGCAATCAACCTATTACTTTTAGGAACTAGGAGGAACCTGGGGTACCAGGAGTTCTCCCTGTGCATGCACAGGGAGAACAAACAAACCCCATGAAGAAAAAGAATCAAACCCACAACTTTCTTGCTGTGTGCTACCATCTGCACACCAATTAATCCCATCACTCTTCATGAAAAAAAAACATAATGGCACAGACAGTGTGAAGAAATATAAATATGTAACAGAGTTAAAATGAAATTATACAACAATGTGGAAGAGCTGTTTATATTAGCAGTTTTTATTAAAAATGTTACAATTAAGGATTCCCATATGAGCAGCAAATGTTAAAGGAAAGCAGAAACAACCTGTGGGAGTTTGAACTGCTTTCTACTGGTTTAGTAACAGAGGCACATGAGTGAAGATTATTAGGATTGAAAATTCATCCTTATCAAAATTAGGGATAAAGAAGAGCGGCTATTCATCTTTCAGCTTGTTGTTCATATATTTTGTTCTCTTTGCCAAGGCGATGGCGTCCAGATGGAGGTTGCGGTTCAGAATAACTGAGCCACATGTGAGAGCTCCAGCAAGGGCGCCAGCGAAACCGCACAAAAACACATCCTGGCCTGTAAACAGAACATGTAAAAACCAGAGAAGGTTTGATTTATGCAGAACAATGGCATCGATTTTTATTCTCTGGTTGGTACAATGAGGCACAGAAGGACTCACCTGTCAGGTAGAGGTTCTTCAGGGGAGTCTGAGGTCTTATTGTAGCGTTGAGTTCAGGGCTGAACCGAGCGATGCCGTGGTCCACTCCATAGATCTCACCTTTGGGGGCAGCAATGTAATGTGTGTTTGTGATGGGGGTTCCAGCATCAATATACTCAATCTGCAAAAACACAACACGTTTCTGAGTAACAAGGATAGCTAGCTTGATTTTTTTAAAGGCATGTGCAACACCGCAACATTTGATAATGTAATAAAATTTGGATTTGAAATGTAATAAAAGATTATTAAAACTGTATTATCTAATAATCAATGCAAAATGGAATAAAATCCTTGAATTGGCTGTTGATTTTAACCTCATAAAAAGGTGGAATTTTCAAATGCAGAATGGTATTTAAGTGTCCCATATTATTTTAACTATTTTAACTAATAAACACTAAATTTACAGTACACAAGTTAACAAGAGCAAACTGCTCCTTTTGTAATAATAACCAGCAGACAATAAAATAATGCGGAAGAAAGTAACAAAATGCGATCAAGGATTTTATTACTTTTTGCAGTGTAAATGATGTTTGATTACATTTCGAAGCCCAAATTTGCGATATTACTTTACATTGCTGGATCAAAATTGATTCTGTCAATCAATTTGACACAATGTGAAGATTGTAAATATGACTTTGTCCAAAGCAACAAACACCTACCTATATATATATTTATAGTTTGTACAATAATTCATTAAAAATGTTCTAACATCAAACCCAGATTACATTTCTATAGATGTGGAACGATATCAACATGGCTTTTCAGCACTGATTTAAATGAAAATTTAGCAAAATTTCCTAACTCATGGAAATCATTCTGAAGCACTATCAACTTATAGAGATTCCTTATAGTGATAAATAAGTTTCTGGTGAGCTTACACAGACAAAGACTAAGGAGGAAATAGGGGGAAATCCAGAATCCTTTACCTTGTCCCTTGTGATTTTTGGGAAAACGTCCATCACCACATCCAGAGCGGCGTCAATGAACCCTTGCTTCAGCTCTTTGTAGTCGGACCCTCTGTTCGTCACTTTATTGTCCTTCCACTCCTCAAACCACGAGTATTTGGCAAAACTAACCAGACTTAAAGTAGACTTTCCTATTAAAACAAAACACACTATGATGAAGAAAGCATTCCAGTTGAGGGAATGATGCCATCATCCATCAGTACCTGGTGATCTCTCCTCCCACGATGGATCTTTGGCAGACGGCGAGGCGACAAACAGCAGAGGTATTTTCTTAGAGGCCTCTTCTCTCTCCTCATTCATATATTTCTCCACCCTTTAAATAAACAGAGGTAAAGCTAGTGAAAGCTGTTAGCTTAGAGCAGCCTACCATTAGCAATAAGAACATGAGACTTGATGTCACTTGTATCTTAATTGATGCTAGAACAGCCAAGGAGTTCTAGCATCATATATAGTTGGTTACCAACAGTTACCAACTATAAAATAATGCAGAAATCGTTTGTGCATATGTAATAGCAAAATCATTTCTGGCCTTGCTTTAGAACATGACTTTAAAGAATTATGTTGTTTTATAAGGAGGAACTCAAATCCAAAGTTCATTGACCAATACTATAGAAAAACAAGACCAAACAAAACTTAAAAATATGAATAAAACACCCAGTAAATGTCATTTGTAAGCCCTGCAGATAATCTCACACTGAATTCGCTCTCAGACCCGCATAAAACAGACTAATGAAGGCCACAAGGAAGTAAAAGAGTAAGGACTCTGAAGTAAAACAAAAGACCTGCTAATGCTTTGTATGGATAGCTCTGAACTTCATGTTGGTGAAGTATTTGTACTAAATATTTTGTAAGTTAAAGAATAAAAAATATATATTTTTTCAAAAACACAAGTCACAATTCATCTGTTTTATCTGTTTATAGTTTTTTCTGTCTCACCAGAAAAAAATATTACTCTTTGAAAAAGTAATAAAATATTTAAAAAAAAAAAGAAAAATGTATTTTTGTATGTAGCTGCAAATAAAATCCTGAAAAGGCGATTTTATGGTTGAATTATCTTAACACAGATTATATTATGCTGGTCAACTATAATTTATCTACAGTGTATAGAATTGTTGATATTCAGTTAGGTTAATTGTTTAAATGTAATTTTTTGTGACTCAGGTATTTTTGAAATTAGCACAAAATGGCTCCCTCTGGTGGTTCAAAGTAAGACTGGACTATTAGCTGCTGTAATACTGACACTAAACCAAGAGAAAAAATAAAGGAATTAAAAGAGAAAACATACAGCTCATCAAAATTGTTCTCAGCAAAAATCCAGTAGTTGTTTGCTTTCAGGCCCAGCTCCTCCTTGGTTCCATTTAAACCAATAAAGATGCTCAGACCTCCTTCACCATGTTTCACCAAACTGAGCTGCTTCTGGATCTCTGCAAAGCAGCACAGACAACAACAAACTGTTGAAACATCATATAATAAACAAGCACAAATCAGCATAAAACTGAAATAGCAAGAAAAATATCAATGATTTTCTTGTTATATTTAAAATTAAGAAATTAGTGTCACATTTAAGCCCCCCTTTACTTTCCTATTTCTAAATAAAATCAAGTGTAATAGAATGTTCTACCCTCAAATGTGCAAGATTTTTAACTTGATATTTTTACATTTATTTTACAAATATATAGGTCAAACATATTATTAAATATATTCAGTTAAATATATTTCTCAGCCAGTTTGTTCTCAAGCTACAAAACAATATGTTGTGAAACAAAAACTCTGTTTTCTAGCTGCAAAGGAATGTTTGTAATCAGGCACACCACAGACGCCTTTAGGTCTTCAGAGAAGTATTCTGTTTTACACACACAGAGAGACTGTGTGTTGTGGGTAATTAAGAGCACTGACAGTTTCTCGGATCATTTTTATAGCAAATAATAATTACTGTGTAACAGTTTTGTGGTGGAAACTTTACAAAATCAGAAAAAGTTAAAGTGATGTGAATATTTTTAGAAAACATTATAAATTATTGAGATCATCCTTTGACGCTGACTGACCTGGCATGGCCTGGAGCTCCTTGGGCAGCAGCTTCTCGTAGGTATTAAAAATACCGGCATCCGAAATGACCATAGGGGCTTTTATATGCACCTCCTCCTGACCTTTCAACACACTCACACCTGAAAACAAACAAACAAAAAAGAAAGAACAATAGATTCATCTAATATAGAGGATCAGGTTAGTAAACGAATGAAGTCAAGCTCACCGCAAGCTTCCTTTGCATCATTAAATAAGATGCGGTTGACTGGGGCTCGCACCAGAACAGCGCCCCCTGCTTTCTCGATGATGGGAATCATGTGGTAAGCAATCTCACTGCTGCCAGCTTTAGGATACCAGGCGCCACTCAGGTAGTGGGTGGTCAGCAGACTGTGCATGGAAAAGCTGGAATCTTTTGGTATGTTGCCTGTGAATGAAATTAAATACAAAAAGCAACAACTGAGCAGTCAGCTCACAAATCCAATTTGACTGGAGGTGAAGAGTAATATCCAAAAAAATAATATGAAGGAAAATTATTAAAGTGGGTATCATGGAAAAGTAGATCTTTTTATTTTTAATCTTCCCACACAGAATTATGAGCTTCAACCAAAACTTACTGCGTTCGAGAAAATGTTCAGTATCAAGTTCAGCCATTGTGTTTTGGATATACCCAAAAGTAAAAATCTTTCTGTTATTTAGACGGCTTTTCTTTTCTAAAGATTGACATGTTTCCTTACCCGTTTGTTGCAAAATCAGTGTGTGAATAGGAATGACTGATTTGATTGTAAAACGTCTCTATGTATCCTGAAAAGCGCTATACAAGCCTGACATTTCACTTTGTTTCTAAATAGCTCAGATTCAGTCAGATTGGATGATGAGCATCTCAAGAGCAAGTTTTGAGACTTAGCGCAGATTTTAAATAGGATTTGGAGATAATGAGTTTTCAGGTCTCTATTTTGAGCAAAGTGTGGCTATTGTTTTAGAACCCAACTCTGCTTTAAAGCTCTCGACAGAAAACTAACCAGTCTGCTGTGTTTGCCGTTTGTTCACTAATGTCCTCTAACAAACCTCCTCCAGCTGCATTTATGCTGAGATTAAATTACATACGGGTGGACTCAATTTACTAATTTAATAACTTCTGGAGGAAATAGGCTTCCCTGCATTTTCTTTATGGGTATCACAGTGTCATTTGTAAGAAGAAATAAAAACATGAAAAGGATGCATCTATTTTTTTTCCTTCTATGTCACAATTAGGGCCTAATTTGTCCAATAAATTACACTAAAGTTCAATGAGTATGATTAAATTTTCCTGAAACAATAAAAATGCATCTGATTATTTTTGCACTTTTTTTTCAGATAAATAGTGGCTTGAAAGAAATCAATGACAAGAAGTGAAACCAGGCAGACCCCACAAGTCAGGATCAGTGAGTTTATACAATTGCAGATACACTGAATAATACTCAAAATAAATAAAATGGAAGAAACGGACAAGTTATAGTCAGAAGGACAGCAACAAAAAGGGAAAAAAAGAGACAAATGTCTCATATATAGACATTTTTGGAGGCCGAGTTAGCAACATCTCATCTGATAATCATCTTTTGACCAGAAAACAAAATTGCCAGGCGTACCGTAAGTGCCAAAGATGTAGGTGAAGACAGCTCTGAGGTCCTTGTTCTCCGTCAGCTCGTTGACCACGTCTGTCAGGCTGCGTGACGCCATTTTGTAGAAGTAAGATAGATGTTTGATAAGGCCGGTGTGGATCAGGAACTTGGCCAAAGGTAAGGGGCAGAGCTTCAGCAAAGCCATGACCCAAATGCCTCGCCCGGTTTTCTGCAAAAAAAAAAACACAGCACACACAGATGGTAACATGGATCTTTTTTACTTCACCTCTGACCTTAAAAGGACTTTTGAAGTCCAAAGCATTTACATGCAAGACTAAAGTCTGAATCATTTGAAAATGATTACGGTAATCCATTTATTGTTTTATCACAGAACCCTACCTTCACCAGCTTCAGGTACTCATCGATGGCCTTCTCCTCTCCAGGGAATCGCTTCTTCAGCTCTTCAGAGTAGCGAGCGCTGCCGCTGTAGATGGGATAGGAGCGTCGGTTTTCTGCGGGTCCCAGCACGACGTGATCAAACGGGTTCTCCAGCTTCTCCCACTGCAGCTGACCATTGGTCATCTGGTCCAGCATGCAGCGAAAGGGCTTGTGGTCCAACAGGTCACCGATGTAGTGGATACCTACCATATGAAAATGCGTTATAACAGAAATAGCTTTTACAAATAAAAGAACATTTTTTTTAATTGATCTTCCTGCGTATGCGAGGGACATGTAAGAATCATCTCACCAACATCAAACTCAAACCCCTTCTCTGTGAACGTGTGGCAGCATCCCCCAGCCCGACTATGCTGCTCCAGAACCAGAACCTTCTTTCCAACTTTAGCCAGCAGCACAGCCAGCCCGAGTCCACCGACACCACTGCCGATGATGACTGCATCCAGGTTCTCTGGCACTTTACTGGCCACAAAACCTGTCACAAAAACAGTAAGAATTATGATTCACAGCTGTGGGTGAAAAGAGCAATAGACCAAATATTCCCTGAGCAAACAAACTCATGTTTAGAGAATATTTAACTATAGATTTAATTAAAAATATAATCTTGAACTGTATCGTTTTATGCACTAAAGTACTTTGAAATAAAATGAAATGGTCAAAATGAGGATAGCAAGCCTCTAAGAAAACTGGACAATCAGTGCATCTACAGCAAAAACAATCTTTTTTATTAATATTCACAAGTTTTTACCAATCATATTTTAGAATCATTAACTCCTATCACTACAACACATTAGGGCTGTTGCAAATATTTTAAAAAAGGACAATTTATTTCTGTATAAAAATTGTAATTTTCTAAGTGTCAAAAGTCAAAACTTTGCAAGAAAAAAAGTCTGATTTTTTTTAGATTATAGAAATATTCTATATCTTGTAACTTTCTGAGTTTTTTGGCAGGAATGTACGTCTTTTCTAGCTTCCATATCCCTATCAATCCGTCGCACATTTCACATTTTTGATGTTTTTCTTAATATACCTGTATTTAAATTACTCCAAGAGGTGGGATAAATAATATCTAAATGATCTATTAAATCAAAATAGGTGTTTGGATATGAAAATATTCTCTTAAGCACGTCTGCACATCTTGCTTTTCAGCAACGAAGTTTACATCAGTGTTATGAACTAAGTTAATAAACTTGCATGAGTAAAATACAAATAAACTCACCTTGCTTAAGGACTTTGTTTTTCTCTTTCTTGTCGTAAACCTTCTCTTTTAGCGGCTCACGACTGTCCTTCTCAAAGGGGTTCGGACCTGAGTTGCCGAAGACATATTTAAGTATAAATACGACCAAAGACACACAGGCAACGGCTACAATCATCAACATCACGCCAACTTTTCTTTTCTACGTCCTGTCAACTGGTCAAACTACTCTTGAGTTCACTTCCTTGTTCGGAACAGCGTAGTCCCGCCCATTTTACTGACAGATGACAGTAGCCAATCAGATAATTAGATTTTCTATACGTAATATTGTCCCGTCCAATAAGCTTTATGTTTCACATGCTTTCTTTTCTGAAAGCATGAACGTACTGTCCGTGTCGTACTGCATGGCTGAGGTTTTAAACTGACCTTTGTAACAGTAAAAACGCGAAGCAAATCAGACATTTAAAGCAGTTTAGTCTTATGCTGCATTCTAAAAGGAATTAGTTTAGTTTCACCACTTAAAAGATGAGTCAGTTTGTTATACCGACCTAAAGTTTAATATGTTTACTGTACTGCAGGCACTTGGTCATAGCTTCTTTTGTATGATTACTGCATCAACTTGGATCAGTCTGTGGTTTTTACTTTGGGTGTAAGAGAGCTCACGTTTTCTGTTCAACTACATGCTTTATGTTTCACATCTGCCTTTTCACAATATTCCAGATTCTCTTAGGATTTAGGTCAGGTCCGTTTGCAAGTTCAGTGATTCAGTGGTCAGTTAACTATTGATACTTTTAGCAGTAAGATTCCAATGCTGCTGGAAAAAACATCACCTGTCATTTCCGTAAAGATTATTTGCAGAGGAAAGCGTGAGGTGCTCTGATTGTTGACTTTAAAAAAAAAACAGTGGACCAATACCACCATATGGCATGGCTCCTCGAATTATCACCAGTTATTAAAAAAAAAAAAAACCTTCACACTGAATTTAAGATACTTAAAAATCTGTGTCTCTGCCCTTCCTAAATATTCTCGTTCTACCATACTTTTTCCTTCCACAAAACTTTAGGTGGTTGTAATCTACAGCTAGTAATGTAAAGAAAAACTACATCTGTGTATAATAAAATGCATACTTTCAAATAAACATACTTGTTTAATACTGATTGCTAAAGATTGAACTCCTGTTTGATAAGGTTTGCAATAATGTGGTAACTTCTTGAAAGCATTTCCTGCTCCAAATTATAAAACGACATTACTTGAACCTTCACATTATATTCCTGCATTATAATCACAAGAAGATACATTTTTTGGACATGCTTTGTGAACAAATCCAAGTTTTACTTAAGAAACACTTTAATAGAGTCAATGACACCCAACTTGTACCTCTCATTCACTATAAAATCTCACCCAATTTAAAAGCAGCCCGACAGTCAATATGAAGGATACCTTAAAATATGCCATGCTGTATAATAATATCAGTCTTGTCTTTTAATTCAGATGAACTGACAATTATCTGTCCAGCACTCTAATACTTGATGACAACTCCATGTTCGTTTACATTTCAATAATTTAAATCTTTATTGAAGTAAAACATTTCAACTCATTCTTGGACTTTCCCACATTCAAAGCTAATAAAGATTTCTGATCTCGCCCTGAAACTTTTCAAGTGTTTGGGAAACATTATTTCAGGGTGAACACTTTTTCAACGGGGGGGACATTTATATTAAAATTTTTCATAAATTTCATCCCTGCTAACAGATGCGCAGCACAAGACCCCCGCCCATCAGAATACTATTGGCCTCATTTCAGCAGTCCAGCCTGACCAATGTGGATTGATTTGTGTCCAACTAAGCAGATTCAGGATCAGTCTGTGATTCTTTTGTTAGTACAGTAAGCTGAAGAATGGCCTCAAAAAGTTGATATAAATGAGTGGAGCTTCAGAAATTAAACACCAACTCTGGGTTTAATTCAAGCAGTGCAGAGCAAACTTCACGGCTGCTGAAACAGATTTAAACAAAGAAGAAGAATAAAAAAAGGGTCAAGCATGACAAGAAGGATCGAACCAGAAGCCCTTATCTTAAATCCATTTTTGGTATTTACCGCATCTTTTTCAGCCTCCTCGTTAAAATTTCTGTCACCCATTTTTTTTTATTTTATTTTTTTATTATTTCTAAAACTCAATTTCATTTTAGTTGCAAAAAGCACTTCCAATATTTGAAGATAAAATCAAACAGTAGGTTCTACTCTGCATTTGTTAGGGTATTAACCGCAGTTATGTCTGACTTATTATGTACATGTACTGTGGGTCTCAAAGATAGCAGTGGCCAGTAACCCGTGCATTCGGTCGTGTTTTGGTACATATTAAGACAGCTTTCAGAGGAAATACAGTTGTTTGCAATGATAAACTACAAATGGCTTAAGGTCCATGTGGTTGAGGAAGGGGGAAAACCTGAGGGCTCTCCCAGCCTTTGTACACCTGGCAGCAGTAGTGCAGGTCAAAGTTCAAAAGGTCAGAAAGTAAAAATGAGGGGGAGGGAGTGGGTTTTCTTTTCTGAAAGCATGAAGCCATCAGTCCATGGTGCGGTTTTCAGGCCTGTTGGTGACGCGTGCTTGTGGCGTAAAGGGATGTCACTGCAGAACCAAACCAACCTGGAAAACAATCAGAGCAGCTGTTAAGTAAAATACACAAAGGAGATTTTAAAATCACAATTTACTCTACATGACCACATCTTGAACTGGGCAAGAGGAAAACCTTCTGGAGAAATGACTCAAAAACAAAAAGATATTCAGTTATATTCTTTGGTATGTCAAAAAATAATCAATAAAGAATCGGTGGGTATCAAGTTCCAAAACTCTCAAACAGCGAAACATGTATTTTTAAAATTATTATCATTGTTTCAAACTAACATTTGGAGAAACTGATAGGACATTGCATAATTTAATTTTAAAATTAAACTTTTTTTCTTTTTCAAACAAGTACTAAAAGTTTTGTCAAGATGTTTGTTAAAGCCTTAAGGACAGACACACCTATACTCCAATAAAAACAATGCTGCATCTCAAATAAGATAATCAAAAAGTCAATTTCTTATAGCGGTTCAAATTAAAAACCGGAAAAAGTAAATATTACAAACAAAGGGAGAAAAGTAGGCATTTATTTCAATTAAGCTAATGAAAACCAATATTGAATTCATCAGAAAATTTGGATTTCTTTAAAAAAAAAATAGGATTTATAATGCAGAAATGTTGTTTTAGGGTCTAATTAAGCATGAGGAAAATTAATGGGAGGTAAAGTCATCGTAGCGATCCAACACATAGCCTTATTCAGGACACCGACTCCATGATAGACAGAAATGACCCAAAACAAAAACATTGATTTGAGACAATATCTCAATTAGGATCATTTACGCATCATCTTAATGGGTAAATGTTCATCACAACAATGAATGTGGCAAAATAATCTTTTGTGTTTACCATTAAAAATAAAACTCAACACAATTTGTTCCAACAAAACAGTGACATTGTCTATGCTGATGAAAATGTAGACATTTCTGACACCGAAAAGTGAAAACGCTGTCATATTAAGCTGGTGTTAGGATACAAACTAATACTTTTAGAATCATTCAGGTAACTTAAAAAAAAAAAAAATTTGTCCAGGAAAAATATACCTTTTCTGCTCCCATGCTGGGACACTTCCAATTGTACAGATAATACTGTAGATTCCCATCCCCAATGCCGAACTTCAGCTTCTCCAAGAAAGTCTTGTTTTCCATTAGATCCAGTGCATTAAAGACATCGAAGCCTTTCTGTATAAGCACAAAGCAGAAGGAGTTCAGTGTGTGAAGAAAAGATCGCTTATGTACGTTTTCATAAAAATGTGTTAGACGAACCGATTTGGCCAGAATTAGAGCGTCGGACATCAGGTCCAGCAGGGGTGTGGTGGTGTGCACGTTGTAGAAGGAGTACGCTGCTTTAAGACTGCGATGAACAGGGTGATTCATTATGGTGGAGGGCAGTGTGTAGAAACTCAGGAAATCTGTCACTTTTCCTTCGTTCTGTTGGATAATATCATCATTATTACAATAAAAAGGTGCAAACCATTTCTGAGACATTAACCAACAAAAGTATTCATTACCTCCACCACATATGTATCAATAATGTTCTCCTGTGGGAGCAACCAGTGCTCTACCTCTTCCTCGTTCATGGCAGGAACCAGGTTGAACTGGTTAAGGTACTTGCGGAGGAGGCGGCTCACCACTGGTACATCCTTCTTGGTCATCGGTCGCAGACCAGAAGTCTTTGGGGACTGAAGGGCGAAAAGAATATGATGAAAGAAAAGCTCAGCTGATGATATGCATCAAAATCTGTTTCTATTTGCCACTGACCTCAGGCAAACGGTACAACTTCATGGTGCGCTGCATAGTCATGTTTCTGCTCAGGTGGGAGAACTTCACTTCGATTAGTTTTCGTGGGTTCAAAGAGCGATGCCAGTACCTGTCCAGAAGACGAGTATGTTAAAGGTGCAGTATGCAACTTTAATAAAAAGTGTTTTTTTACATATTTGTTGAAACTGTCACTATAGTCAAGACCGTATGTCATGAGACAGAATCGGTGGAAAAATAAAAAAAGAAGATCTCCTGCCTTCTCATAGTGCTAACTAGAAATAAGGAATCAGAGCCAGTAGGAGGGTCTTAGTGCTGTCAATCAACTCATGTGCATGCCTCCCTTCTTTGCTCTCTGCTATGTCAACAAAGCCAACAGGCAAGACCACCAATGACAGCAGAAAAGCTGTTTTCTTATAACAGTAAGTTGGTTCTTTGCCATTAACATTTAGCATCACGTTCATGATGTCGATTGACATCGCTTAGACCCTCCTCCTGGTTCTGATAGGTTGCTTTTGGTCTGGAGCTGTGCATTTCTTTGAAATCCAAGGTGGAAGAGGTTCATCTTTTCACTGATTATATCCTCCATTATACTGTCACAACACAGTGATAGTTTTAACAAATATGCTAAAAGTATTTTAATGAAAGTTACATACAGCAGCTTTCAAGTAGACAGCATTCAAGGCTTTACAATAAATTAAAAAAAAACAAAACAGATATGGCATTCTGCCATGCAGACCTGCAGGTTCCCACAGGCTTGGGCAGTACCACACCGGCAGTGTACACCGCCTGGAAGATACCCTGAAGGTTGACCCGTCTGGTGATTTCTCGGATCAGAACTGGAGCAACCCGTTTGGCTCGCAGCTTCTTGTGGACGCACAAGAAATTGATCTCTACCATTTTCTTTTCTCTAAAAGCACAAGAAGTACAAGTGATGAGATGTGGAAGTAGGCTGGAGATTAATGATATGCTCAAAAATACAAATTAAAAACAATCCAATGGATTAATTTACATCTCATAGATGCGGATGGTGGCTGGAATGGCACTGATGAAACCGACCAGCTTCTGATTGGAGTTCACCCGGACTCCGCAGTGCCACTGGGGCAGCCAACCTGGAGGCCGCAGAGCCCTGAACAAGAGATGGGTTAATTATTTCGA